CCCTTCCTTGCTGGTGGCCTGATGGCAGGGCCCCTCTCCTCACTCCCAGGATGCGGATCGTGGACGACGATGTCAGCTGGAATAGCATTGCTGCTGTCCAGGAGAAGGAGGAGGAGGAGGAGGATGAAGGCGACATGCCTGTGGTGAGTGGGGAATTATGTCAAATGCGCTTTCACAACCTAAATTTGTTCTCCTTAAGGCCCGCCTCGTGTCTCCCTTTGGGAAGCGCTTGCCAAACCGTTTCTCGCCGCCAGCTCTTTTGGTAGTTCCGCAGCAGGGGTGGGTGAGCTTTTCTGCTCCAGGCACAGGGGAGTTGAACTCCCTACCTGCAGATAAAAACAGCCTGTTCTTTGTGCGTTTCCGTTTTCGCAACCGCCAAAAGCAGGCAGTAGGGCCAGCATGGTGGCTCTCGCAGCTTTCAAGCAGCTGCTCGAGGCACAGCAGAAGGTAACCACGCGATCGCAGGAGCCTGCTGACCGCTGCGGCACGGCTTGCGGCATGGGCTGGGTATCGTGACAGCAAAGAGATAAACATTGAAGGCGAAGGCTTGGGAAAGTTGTTTTGAGATCTGACTGTAGGAGGGCAGCTGAACGATGGTCATGCATTGGTTGCCCGTCAGCGTGATTATGCTTAATTATTTGTGTTGGAGAGTAGAAATCATTTTCTCCTTTTTCTTTAAGCCGTGTTCTTTACTCTGGGATTCTGTCTTCAGGTGGCAGAATTTATTGATGAGCGTCCGGATGAAGTGAAGCTTATGGAGGAATTCCGGACAAATGCTAAATGGAAACTTCTAGGAGGTGAGACCAGACCTTTCTGCCCTCTCTCCCTGAAGGCTTAACTGCTCTAAACAATGACATTGTTGCAAATTAAAAATAATACTTGCTAAAAGAAAAAAAAAAAAATTTTTGAAATGCTGAAGAGATCACAAACTGTGGAGAGCCCTAATGATGGTGACTTTCTGATTGTTTTTCTTTAGACCAGAATGAAGACTCACAAGGTTCGGATATTTCAGTACCCGCCAAATCTAACATGAGGTACGGGGCTCCAACTAGAAATTCTTCTGTTGGTTAACTCTTGTTTTCTGGTATCGTCTCTCTCGTTCTGCAGTTTCTAAGTGCTTTGCTGTGAAATGTGAGAAGCAGCATATGCAGGGATTCCTTTTCCGCTGTTGAATAACCTCCGCCTGGGGCGGAAAACCGGCAGACAGCGTGCTGCCTAGGTTCCCGCGTCATACGCGAACAGCTGCCCCGCAGTCCTCTGACAGCATCAGAGAAATCTGGGCGATGACTCGCCGTAGATCTGGAACGTGGCGAGGATGGCGGCGTTATAACGTGCCTCTTTTCTGAAAGCATCTGCGGGATGTTCCATGGTTGCAGAGCATCCAGGCTCTCAGAGAGCGTGGTGGGGTGTTTCTTTGTGAGAAGATGATTATACAAGGGCACAAATTGGGTTTTGTAGTAGGAGTGTCACCAGGGTTCCTGGAGACTTTAAAATTACAGCTTTCCTGTGATCCAGGTTGCCTCAGAGGGTTTCTGGGATTCTGCTCAGGGAAGTCTGCGGCTCAGTGATGCAGGTCACTGCAGGGAGGTGCAGAATCAAGTATGAATTTGCGTTCAGAAAGTTGTTTTCATCCTCGAGCCCTACTGCTAGCTTCACAGGTCCCACTCGGTTTGTGTTTCCAGTCTGGAGACAGCAGAACAAACAAAAATCTAACTCTCGTTTTCACCTTCTGCTCCCCTCCCAGGCGGCAGCGCCACGACTCCCCAGACAGCTTGCCACCGAGGAGACTGCGGCACGACTCCCCAGACAGATCGCCTCCCGGGCAACAGCACCACGCATCCCCGCATCTGTCCCCTCCCAGGCGAGAGAGAAACGATTCCCCCAACATCTTGCCTCCCAGGCGACAGCGCCGTGACTCCCCGAACCTCTCCCCGCCAAGAAGGAAGCGTCACGACTCCCCAGATCTGTCACCTCCCAGGCGACAGCGTCACGACTCTCCGGACCTCTCTCCGCCAAGAAGGAAGCGTCACGACTCCCCGGACCTGTCACCTCCCAGGCAACGACATGACTCCCCAGACCTCTCCCCGCCAAGAAGGAAGCGTCATGACTCCCCAGACCTGTCACCTCCCAGGCGGCAGCGTCACGACTCCCCAGACCTGTCACCTCCCAGGCGGCAGCGTCACGACTCCCCAGACCTCTCCCCGCCAAGAAGGAAGCGTCACGACTCCCCAGACCTGTCACCTCCCAGGCGGCAGCGTCACGACTCCCCAGACCTCTCCCCGCCAAGAAGGAAGCGTCACGACTCCCCAGACCTGTCACCTCCCAGGCGGCAACGTCGCGACTCCCCAGATCTGTCCCCACCAAGAAGGAAGCGTCACGACTCCCCTGATGTCTCTCCGAAGAGAGTTGGTTCGGCAATGGGGAAAAAGGGCTGCAAAACCACAGACAAGTCGCAGCCGGGGGGAGCCCAAGGAGAGCAATCTCAGCTCAGGTACGGCGTCTCTGACAAGTCCTGGTCACGTCAGAAGCACCAGGCTACTCCGGATCTATCCCCTCCACGGAAGAATAGGTACGATTCTGACACGGATTCGTCCCCGCCTCGGAGAAAGAGAGCTGGGTCACCTAGTCCAAAAAAGCAGAGCCGAACAAGAGGTGAGTGTGCATAAGAGTTTGTTCTGTCTGTCCTGTGCTTTGCTGGCTGCCCGCTCCGCGATCGTGTCTGCGCGCTCCTGAGAGGGGAGTGGGATGGAATTGGTGGTCTGCAGTCACGGGATGGTAGCGGATAGGTTGTCAGTTCTGTTGGCACGGCTAGTTCTTGTAATCCTATTTTTTTCATCGGCTGCAGTAGAGTTAACCTAAGAGTTAGCTGGCGAAGGCTTAAACGTGTCCGAAAGGAAAACGGAGTTTAAACCCTGTCTCCAGGCTGTACATGTTCAGAAGGAAGAGAATTCACAGGCTCTTATCACATACTTGTCTTTTCCCTGCAGCTTGTCATTTCTTAAGGTCTTGATTTTTCTAGAAGTGAACCTCATGCACCGCCATGTTTAGCCCCTTTGTGGGACTAATTCTGTTTCATTCTGAAGTTTTTAGTTAGTGCATGTCTTTGCTGCAGGTGCTTCTCCAGCCACGAAAAAGCTTAGGCCGGTGCCCTCGCCTCAGAGGTGCCCGAGGCACGACTCTCACTCTCCATCTCCACGGAGGGGTAGCCGGAACGCCTCTGATGCAGACCGCAGGCTAGGCCGTGTACGCAGCGATTCCCCTAAGCGTGGTCCTCTCAAACAGCATCAGAGCAAATCTTCAGACTCTGATTTATCTCCGCCACGACGGACTCTGCCGGCCGGAAAGGATCGGCGCGGTTCGAGGAGTCCCCCTGAGCTCTCACCTCCTCGCCACCGTGACACTAAGGGATCTCCCAAGAAGGTAAACATTTTGTCTTTCCATTTAAGCTGTAGATTACTTCCTGGTGATAGAAAACTGTAAAAGTCCAGCGACTTACAAACTGCGGAGTAGAAATTTAATTTACCTTGCGTATGCAGCCACGCCATGCCCTCTGCTTGCAATAAGAAGAAGCACGAGGTAGGCGTGAGAGAGGAGCTCTCTCTGAGTCCCGCTCTGTTTCTGGAGCTCTGGGGAAGTTGGTTGCGAGGATGCCAGCAAAGTGGCTTTGCAACGTGGCTGTCTCTGCCGACACATCTCTCTTGGCTTGGGGCCGTCCCCTCATTATGCCTCTGGATCACTGGACAGCTCTCAGCTAGCGGTAAATGTGGGGTTTTTGTTTGAATTGCAGGCAAACGTGATGCTCTCTGGGGTCAAAGCTGGCTTGGTGTCAGCTGACGTGCTGCGGAGGGAACAGCAGGAGCTCCGGAGGCATGAGAGAAATAACAAGCACTTGGAAGGTAGGGGTGTAAAAACGGTTCACGAGCGCCAGCTCGCTTTCTTTTTCTCTGCTTTCAGCTGTCTCTTGATGCTGTGTCAGGCCCTGGGGTTAGGGGGCTGATGGAGAGTGTCCCTGTGGAGCAGCATGTAGACGTGCTGACAGATTCCTTGGGGTAGGGTCACTGAGCCTCTGAAATAACAGATTTATAAATGGTGATTTCAAAGGAATGCCCGTGAAATCAGAGGGAGGGTGAGAGGCTTTTTCTGTCTGCCCCATCTGCAAGTCTGAAACAGCAGACTGATATTCGAAGAGCTCAGGGTACGAATGTGGCTGTGTGGGACAGCAGCGAAAAGCAAGAGCTATGATCCTGCCCTGTTTTGGATGATAAGCTTGTTCAGAGGCCAGAACAAGTAAAAGAAACAAATGTTGAAATGAGTCGCAGTGGGTAATTGAATTGTCTGGAGGCGGCGAAATGTTCCAAAACGTGTGACTTGAGGTATCTGCCCCCTCCAGAGGAGTCCCGGCACTCTGAGACCGTCTTCCGAGACAAGTCGGGCCGCAAAAGGGACCTCGCGCAGGAGCGGCTGGAGCAGAGGCAGAAAGCCGAAGTGCAGTCCGAGAGAGACGAGCAATATGCCAAGTGGGGTAAAGGGTAAGGTTCTGCGGAGCTCCTTGGCATGGTCTTTGGGCCTCACATTACGGCTTATGACTCGCATTATGGCTTCAGGCTCCCCGCTCCCTGCTTTTTGGCCCAGTTTCGATACCGCTTCCAGCGGTGGTGGTGGCGGCGTGTCGCTTTGTTTTGAGTTTGAGCCTGGGAGCAGGAGAGCACGTGTTCCACGTGTCCGAGAGACCCCCTCAGTTATTCCCTCCGTTGTTGGCTGTGCATTGGGAATGCTGTGCACGCAGTGGAAGTTCAGGACTGTGATCAGTCCTGCCAATTGAGGGAGTCACAGTAAATGATTGCTTGGGCGTGGAGGGAAACTTTGTGTTTGTTTTCAGGCTAGCGCAGGAGAGGCAACAGCAGCAGAACGTGGAAGATGCAATAAGAGAGATGCAGAAGCCGTTGGCCCGTTACATTGATGACCAGGATCTGGATCGAATGCTGAGAGAGCAAGAGAGGGAAGGAGACCCCATGGCTGATTTCATCAAAAAAAGGAAGGCCAAAGAGAACAAAGAAAAGAAAGGTTTGGATGTTGAGTTGCGCCGGTGCACAGTTTAAGGCCCCAGTGGTGTAGAAATGCAGCTGCTGTTAAATAGCTTAGCTCTAAAGGGCCGCTTCTCTGGAGTCAGCGCAGCAGCAGTATTTGCTATTATTGGCTTGTTACTGGTACGGGTTATGATTATTTGTTAGCTTAGAGAGGAGGATCCGGTGACTTAAAAATCACCAGACTCCAGTTTGATTAAGCATCTCTTTGGAAGTTTCCCCTGCAAGCTGTAGTTGGCCATTAAGCTGCCTGTGCACCGTGCGTGTATATACCTCTTAGGTTGATGACGATGTGACCGCATGATTGCGCTGAAGTAGTAAATGGCTGCATTGTTCTTCCTGTTTCTAGAAAAACCTAGGTACAATGGACCAGCACCTCCACTCAACAGATTTAATATATGGCCTGGGCATCGCTGGGATGGTGTGGACAGGTACGCGTGTTCCTGATACGGTGACGTGGTAGAGTAACAGTAAAAATAAATGAGCTTTTGCTTCAGAGAGTTCACAGCATAAAGATTCTCAGTTACCAGATGAATGAGGTTGTTAGGTTGAATGTGTTAAGTTTACGCATGGGTGATAAATACGGGACGGAAGGGAGCAAGGCTGGTGCTGTCAGCAAGGATGCAAATCGCTTCTGCAGCGCAAACGCCTGGCAGCAGGCAGGGAGAGACCTGCTCATCCTCAGGATGTCGGTGACGGAACATGCTTCAGAGATGCTAACTGTTGTTAACCACAGATCGAGGTGGAAACTGAGCAGAGTAAAAGTAGCGGAAAACTCGTAATGTCTCTAAAAAGTTTCATTGCTTCAGAGAGGCTTCTGCATGGCAGCCCATGGTCTTCTCGGTGTTGCTTTGCAGGTCCAATGGATTCGAGCAGCAGCGCTTTGCCAGGATAGCCAACAAGAAGGCAGTTCAGGAGCTTGCGTACAAGTGGAGCGTTGAGGACATGTAGACGAGGCGAAGAACCACGCAGAGCAGCGCTCCTGAATCGATGCTACGGAGGTTCACCTACTGCCGCTGCCAGAGCTGCGAGGAATGGCTCGCTCTGCCCGGACCAAGCCCCGTACTCGGCGTTGGGCATCCCAGCGGACCATCTTCCGAGAGGCAAGGCTGAATTTAGAGGAGAGCTGCTGAAAGAGGATTGTGCTGTCAGCCAGAGAGGACGAGCGCAAGGAACTGCAGCGGCTGACCTCGGTGCTCTGGCGCTCCCCCGTAAGGTGCTGCAGACATTGGTTTCTGGTCCGTTTATCTGTCTTCTAACAACCCATAGAAACTATATGCTTAATCCTTTTATGCCAAATGCTTTGTCCTCTGAGGGCGGTTCACAAGTCTTCAGGTGTCCTAAATCTCAGGTTTTTTCTTCATGGTAAGAGTGTGCTGAACGCTTGGCCGCTGGAGGGTTAACCTCATCCAGTAGGTCAGTCTGTCCAGAGCTCAGCTGCAGTTGTGTTCGAGCTCTTCCAGAGAGCAACCGTAGCCCACAAGTGCTTAGTGCTGTGCACCGATTTGCCTCTGGGCTGATGTCAGATGCTCCCTGTGTCCTTCCCAGGGCACCCGAAGGGCTTCTCTTAAGTTTGTGTCGTTATCGTGCCCTCCTGTTCATGGAGTCACTGACGTGCAGTGGAATAGGCAAAGCTCGCCTTCTCCTCGCCCTGTCTGAGCAGGCAGCCGCTTGCTGTCTGTCACTGGCTCCCCTCTACAAGAGGCTGAGAGACCAACCTGCAAGGCTGTATTTGGCAGCGAAATCTTCAGGAGCCCCCGCAACTTGGTTGGGGGCCAGTTTCTTGTGGAACTAAACACACGGAGGGCATTTAAATTGCTTCCCCCGACCGTTATTTCGGACTAGCTAACAGTGGCGGATTGCTCGCCCCAGGCTTCTCCCTGGACAGCGGCGCCGGTAGCTTGGCACTTCCCCGGCGCCGCTGCCTGGGGGCTCGCTTCGGCGCGAAGCCTAACCCCTCGCTCGTGATCAGATTTGTCGGCCTTGGAGCTGGAGGGCAGGCAGAGAGCTTCCCTTAATCCCAGCGTGCCAGAAAGCACTTGTGGAAATAAATACAGTTGTTCTCGTTGATGTCCCAGGGAGCACGTATTAAATGCAGCCAGCGGTTTCCATGGAGATGCCTTGTCTTCAGTAGTGGCCAAGGGGCCAGTCGTCAGAATTGCTCTTTGCGGTGATTCTGAAGCGCCGGGAGGGCTGTGGGCGAGAAGTGTAATGGCAAAGTCTTCTCTGGAGCAGGGGAGTCTTGGGACTTCCTTCCCTGGTGTGTTTGGTTTTTTTTATTCACCGTGTTACACGTCTGGCAGTCCTGGAATCTGTGTGTACACTTGTAAATAACACCTTTCTTTTTTTACCTGGCTTTGCGTGGTGGTGTTTTTTCCGAGGCAGGGACAAGGAGGGTAAATAATCGCCAGCCTGCCGGTAAAAGGATTGGGTATGACGTCTGCTGCGGCCATCGCTGCCTGCAGTTACCTTTGCCAAACAAATTGTGCTGTGCTGATGTCTTTTGCAAAGTCTCTTGGTAACTCTCCGGGCTGCAAGTGGGAACTACTGGGCCCTGGCTGAGCTGGCAGCCCCGCCTGTATTTATGGGGTAGTCGGTTAAGCCTCGCCGCCTGCTTCGGGGACAGATGCTCCTCTGTCGCCGCTTGCAAGTGCGCAAACCGTGGACTGCTGCTCGCAGCCGGTGGCTGAGGCCGGGAGAGGAATGGAGAACCGGGCGCCGATTGTAGACCCTGTGGGAGCGAGCTGCGGTTTTTCGCTTTAATAGCCAGACTGAAGGAAAGCACCCTGAGCGGCTCTCGTTTCTTTTGTGGGCGCAAAGGCAGCGTCGGGAAGGCTTTGCCGCTTGCAAGTGCGCAAACCGTGGACTGCTGCTCGCAGCCGGTGGCTGAGGCCGGGAGAGGAATGGAGAACCGGGCGCCGATTGTAGACCCTGTGGGAGCGAGCTGCGGTTTTTCGCTTTAATAGCCAGACTGAAGGAAAGCACCCTGAGCGGCTCTCGTTTCTTTTGTGGGCGCAAAGGCAGCGTCGGGAAGGCTTTGCTCTCGCAGGCCCTGCTGCAGCCCATCAGGCAGGAAAATGGTTTGGGAGCGCGAGGCAGCAGTGAGAGCTGCTGCAGCGTATTGAGAGCCTGCTCTTCAGTTGTGCGTATTTTCCAGTTGCACTTTCCCCTTCTATCACCGAGGTCCTATTTTTTTTTTCCTTGTAACTTGAGGCAGCTGCAGCCTTGAAGAGTGGAATTACATTTGACACAGACCCATTTTTGCTCTCGCTTACCCGAGTGCTTCTGGAGATGTAAAAAAAAGAAAAAAGATACCGTGGGATTATTGAATTCACCTTACCGTGGAGAGTTGTTGCCCTGGTCAGATGCTTGCACCTTCCTGCTCGCCCTGCTTGAGTGAGAACGCGCTGCTTGGCAGAGCCACAGGAGATGGCAGCTGGCTAGCTTGAGCGATAGTTGGGAACGTAAGCTGCTACTTAGGAAGGCAAAGCCGGTTTAATGCTGATACTAAGCACAACATTTTTTTTTTTTTTTTAGTACCGAGAACAGCGTAAGCTGCTGCTCTTGCAACTTATTTTGAGGGCTGGAGTTTTAAGATTTTAGATAGAGGTACGTATGTTGATTACTAGCCGAGGGACCTCGTATCAGTGTTCACTAGAATACTGAATTTATGCGATACATCTATTATTTGTGTACTACCAGACGTCTTCTCGGTAAAACGTATCTGTGCAAAATAACAGAGTACGGGAGAGCTTCGATGGTGCAATTATAACATTTTAATACGCATCCTTCCGTGTTGTTGCCTTGGTGCAAATCGGCAAACGTTAGGCTGGCCGATCTGGATGCAGCCGGACTAACAGAACACAGGGTCTAAAATGGCACTTAAGCTTCAGAGGGGCAGGCGAGCTGCCGCTTTCCCCCT